GATGAAGACGCTGCAGAACGAGGCGGGGGAGGAACAGACCGCTGAGCAGGAATCACTTCTTGAGAAATAAAATAAAAAGTTTAATTACAAGCCTCCAAGTCAGCCTCCATCAGATGGTGAACATCTGCATTTTAATCGATTTGCTTCCCCTCCTCCTCCTCCTCCTCCATGTCTTTCACGATCATTAACTTTATTGGATTGGACATTCCTGTTGCAAAAACAATTCAGAACAATCATTTGCGACGCAGTTCCCCAGTGTGGGATGCAAATGCTGCTCACACTCGCCGCTTTGGCCCGGCAATTAGGGGCAGAGCGCCGAAGCAGGAGGCCCCCCTCTTCGTCAGGAGGAAGAGGGGGCTGCAGATAATCTGATTACTCAGTCATTACGTGCTGGAGAGCTTTCATTAGGACCTGCTGAGGACCTGCTGAGGACCTGCTGAGGACCTGCTGAGGACTCGGCTCGCTCCAGCAGAACTGACGACCCGTCGGGACGGCAAAAGCTGATCTGTAGAGGAACGCTGAGTCATGTGACCCTGCAGGTCCTGAGATTCACCTGCAGGTCCTGAGATTCACCTGCAGGACCTGAGATTCACATGCAGGACCTGAGATTCACCTGAAGGACCTGAGATTCACCTGCAGGTCCTGAGATTCACCTGCAGGTCCTGAGATTCACCTGCAGGTCCTGAGATTCACCTGCAGGTCCTGAGTTCACCTGCAGGTCCTGGGATTTACCTGCAGGTCCTGGGATTCACCTGCAGGACCTGAGATTCACCTGCAGGTCCTGAGTTCACCTGCAGGACCTGAGATTCACCTGCAGTCCTGAGTTCACCTGCAGGTCCTGAGATTCACCTGCAGGTTCTGAGTTCACCTGCAGGTCCTGAGATTCACCTGCAGGTCCTGAGATTCACCTGCAGGTTCTGAGTTCACCTGCAGGTCCTGAGCTACACCTGAACCTGTTGTTTGACATTAAAAGTTTATCGTTATTTAACCAGGCAAGTCCCGTTGAAATCTCAGATCTGCTTTTCAAGGGAGGCCTGGGCCTGAAGGCAGCCTGTTGTACGTTTCTTTGTTTGTTTTTATTTTTATTTTTTTGGGTGGGGGGACCGGAGTACACGGAGAAAACCCACGCAACGAGGAGAACATGCGAACTCGCACAGAAACCTAATTTTAGGATGAGATGTTCTAACTCTTAACATGTTCAGCCTGTAGTGGTTAACTGTGCGGTAGTTCCATCCTTAACGTGTYGAAACATGTTGGAAATGAAGCGGTGACGAGCTGCACGTGCAGAAATGAAACGGCTCTTTCATTTACCTTCATTATGTTAATGTGGAGAGGAGTTGACTCTGTGAAACAACTGGTAATTTTTCTTTAACACACGTTATTATTATTTTAATCTGTGTAATTGAAACTGCCAAGCGGGCAGCTTGTATTAAAGTTGCACCTTTGACTGAGTCGCTGCATCTGATGGATTTAATTATTCCTGTAACCTATATATTATTAATGGTCTATATTGATTTCTGAACTCCCAGACTGCTCGTGGATATGCAAATGCAGCCTCGGCAATATCGGGACGGGCTCATTTGCATGGGAGCCCATTATTATTTTATAAGTAAATTTTAATGTGGACTCAATTAAAACTCAGCCAGTGGAACAGCTAAATTGGCCCAAGGTATGAGCTGTGTGAGATTCATGTGCCGAGCCGGGACGTATCAATTAGTAAAGATCAAACTTTGGCTCCTCTGGAGGGGGAAGAAAATGCTGAAATTCAATCATGTGGCGCCTTTGACTCGGCGGCGGCTCCGTCTTTGCTCGGCTTCTGCCTTTTTTAATCTATATGATCATTATTGGTGTGGAAATCAGATCCAGCAAATGGAATCAGAATGTGGAAAATTCCTCCGTACGCGTGGCGGTTTCAGTGGGGGGGGGTCGAGGTCACGTCTGGGTTTTATCACCGTAAATGTGACCTGTTTGAAAAAAGACCTCAGGATGAACTCTGTGTGCAGAGATTAAACAATTCTCATTAAACACAAAACTTTAGATTTCAGCAGATCTATGGTGTTTCTTATCATCTTTTTTATATAAATATGTTTTTTCTTGTTTTGTTTATGAGAATTAAAATTTAAAAACAAAATGAAGAGTTGTTTCATCAGTGCGCCACCAAGAGCCGCATGTTTTGACCGTTACTGTTTAATTTTACTAAAAACATAAAAAAACACACTTCCTGAGCCCCACTAACAAACACTAACTGAGCTCTACCTGGTATTTCTTGCATAAACAGCATTTTAACATCTTTTTATAAACACAACTTACTAAATGTGAAATAAACACTACAGAAATACTATTAAAAGTAAATATAAGAGTTTTACTCACTGTTCAGTTGAGGTGAGTAGCCACCATCTTGAATTCTGAACTCTCCCACTGGTTCCAGTTTAAATTTAAGACACACAAGGAGCCAGTGAAAATGTGGTGAACTGCAGATTTTACACAGTGAATTTATCCGGCTGCAGACTTCTGAACCCTGTGCAGCGCCACCTGGTGGCGGGAGGCTGTCATTTTGCAGGTAATCAAAATGCATTGTGGGACATGTAGTTTATCATACTGGCCTTAAAGCAGCTCATTTTCAGAGGTTTGTAGTAACTAAGTACWTTTACTTTGTTACAGTTAAATCATTTTTTGAGGATTTGTAATTTTACCAAGTGTTTTTAAACACCGTACTTTTACTTTTATTTCATTACATTTAAAACGTAAAAATGATACTTTTACTTCTTTACTTTGAAGACAGTGTAAAGTAAAATGTAACATTTTATTTTTTAAACATTATAAATGTCATAAATGGAATGTTGTAAATGAGTACAAATTCTCTGAACTGTAGATATTTGAATAGTGGAGATATGATTCAGTTTGTGTAACAAGGTATTTTTTGGGCGTGTCTTAAAGGGCAGCCTCGTGATGTCACGCAGCTGCCTTCAGTATAACCCCGCCCCCTGTTRCTCTAATGGAAAAGAAAACATTGTTTCCTTGGTTACAGGAATGTTCAGGGTTGTGGGCGTGGTTTAAGCCCCTCCAGTGGACACGCCCCCAGCATTCCAGACCACAGCTAACTGATATTTTTCTTTACTTTTAACACATAATTTATAAGGTTAACAGTATTTTTAATTGTTCAAACTTGGCTGGGTGATTTTTAACACATATTTCTGTGGTGTGACAACCTTACAACACATTTATTTTTACTTTACACGGTCTTTAAAGTTTAACACCTAGTTACTCGTTACAAATTAAATCTGAGCTCATCATGAGAGGAGTTGTTTATGTGCTCTAAAAAATTAAGTGTTAAATTTACTCAACCAAGTYAGCTGGTTTCACTAAACATATAGAGTTAATATAAACAAACAAATAAATATTTTTCCCTAAAAGAAAATATGTATATTGCTCAATTTACTCAACTTTATTTAGCGGAACCAGTTCAGAAAATTCAACAGTTTATTCTTTATAGAGTGTGTAAATATACTTTTATTTTCCTGATTTTTGTGATGTTTTATGACTTTTACTGAAGTACTTTTCTCATCAGTGAAATTTATGTTTACAAAGTAATTTTCTGTTCAGGTACTTTAACTTTATTTTTGTTCAAGAACTTGACAGACCTCTGCTTATTTTAAAGACGTCAACACATCTTTGAAGCTCTCACRGGCCATATAAAATGCAGCGGTGGGCCACATTCTGCCCACGGGCCTTGAGTTTGACACATGTGGTCTCAGACAGTTCAAAGAGCACATGGAGGAGGTTGTTTTGTCTTGATGCAGTGGATCATGTCTCCAGGTAAAGACTCTGAAAGTCACCTTGAGTTTCTCTGTGACTAGCTTTATGTTTTTTGTTCCCTTTAAAAGCCTCTTACACGCTGCAGATAATCCCTCTTTAGTAAACACTCGACTTATAATCCATCTTTTTCACCATTAAAGCATTTGTTGCTGCAGTCGGAGCCTCTGATCCCCGACCTGATGGAGTTTATCTCAACCACTGACTGATGGAGTTCTGGTTCTGGTTCCGTCTTCTGCTTTCATTGTTTCACAAAGAACGGAAAAATAAGAACAAGAAACCAACAAAAGCTAATTTAAACACACTGACAGGGTTTTTATCATGTTGGAAACCAGCGTAAAGCATCGAGGTGCTGGTTCAGTTTCCTGCAGGTAAAGGTCACAGGTTCAGAGGAAGCTGAAGCAGCTGATCAGTCGTATTGATGGATTATTGATTCCACAGAGAAGCTAAATAATTTCACAACTTTACCCGTCATCAATCATCAGTTATACTGGTGAACCCCCAGAGAACTGCAGGGTTTATAAACCTCAGAGGAGCTGGAACCTCCTCCTCCTCCTCCTGACACGGACCCAGCAGAAATAAATCTGAGCCGGGCTCAGAGCAGTAAAGCAGGATTCATGCGCTGACACTTTAACACAGACTCAGGGAGCGATGAGAGCTCCCATCTTCCTCACATTACTGGCTTTAATCCAGGCCGAGCTGCTGATTTATCAGGGAGCAGAGCCGCCGGCCCGACGAGCCGAGCCGGGTCACCGGGCCCACCTCAGCTCCACCTCAGACGAGTTCACCTCCCTGAAACAGGTCTGGCAGGATCCTGCTCCGGGTCTTCATGAAACCAGGTGTTTACGGGACAATTAGTTTAAGATTGACAGCTTGTTAACGAGTTGGAGGAGCGGAGGCGGGGCTTGTGTCCAGGTTCCCGCCTCCAAATATAAAACATGAAACTATTTTTTATTTCAGTTCTGAACAAACATGATGAAATCTTTTTTATTGTCCCTCCAGAGTCAAAGCAGACCAAACATCCTTCTCCTCCTGGAGACAGATCTGGACCACAGCTGGTCCGGTCTGGTCCAGTCCACTTCTCATGTGGTTCTGAGGTCATGTTGTTGGACCAGAATGAGGTGGGAACAGGTTYGTGTTCAAATCAATTATGTGACTCGTTCAAAAGTAAAACAGGTGATTTTTACCTGAGCTGATGAAGCRGCCAATCAGAGAGCAGCAGGTCTCCTGTGTGTCTGCAGGTGATTTCTGTCCACCTGTCCAGGTGACGGTTCAGATTCTGTTCAAACAGGGCAGCAGCTCTGATCTCAGCCTGCTGGTCTCACCCTGAGCGGCCGGACCTGATGGAACCAGAACATAGTCCATTAACACCCCACACACACACACACACACACACACACACACACACACACAAAGTTTAACAGTGTTTTCACAGCTGAAGTTCCTCCTGAATCAAACAGCAACATGAGAAACATGCAGCTCCTGCAGACACACACAGAATCCAGCAATTAGACCCGGCCCTGCAGGACTACAGATCTGCTGCAGGCTCAGGACTTTCTGCCACAGTAAAAACAGAACAAACCAGGTCCTGGTTGGACCCAGAGA